AGGAAGTGTAAAACTGGTAGGGCCTGATTTGCAACCATCAGAGTTCCTTCCTTGTAATGAAAATAGTGTGCACTAAATGACTAACAGAGGAAACCACTCAGAGAAATGCTTATATTAGAAGTATACACCCTCAGCGAGACCACAGTAATCAATTACCCTAAACTGAAGCCCTGGCAGCTACTATGAATTGCTATTGATTTCATCTACCCGTCAGTGTATCTTTCTAGGGCTAGGCTGGAATGTAGCTATGAGATGTAGGCAAAATTAGGAGCTGGAACAAACCTCGCTGGAAAACACAGGCAGCCACTAGGTTTGGGGAATGTATGTTATGCTGGAGTTTGTTTTTTTGGAAGTGCTTAAAAACCCAAGTTCCACTCAGGGTAAAAATGACGTGTGAGATCAGCATACATTGAAATGAGAAAGGTGAGAATTTGGTGGGGTTTTTTTGTGAAGTTACTATGGAAAATGATATCTGGCCTTCTAAAGAAAGCCTCTTTCCTCCATTGCAGTTAAATAAAGGGAGGGCAATTTTTTTCTATACTCTTCATCTCACTATAAAAATTATTTCCTTCTTGCAGTGGACCAATGTATATAAATGTTTCCAAAATAGTGCTATAAGATGCAGTCCCTTACATGCTGTAGCTTGTGAATTGCAAGTTTGTTTTCTACAAAATTCACTTTCTTGTAGAATTCCTTGATTGTTTCAGAAAGACAAAGCAGCTATTTCTTTATGCATGCTGTTTGCTTCAAAGGGAATTCAATCTGTTTTGAGGAGACTGCTATGTTTCTATTATCATGGAAAGAAACTTATTCTGGAACCTTTTTTGCTCAGCAGGAACCGTATGCGTTTTCCACATTCTCATTATACACGTTTTGGCATGAGCATAAAGCAAGCATGATCATTTATATTCTAGCTGATCAAGAGGAGAAGTCTGATTAATGTGAATTTTGGATCAAGGTGAGGGTCATCTTTGTAACCTTCACTAAAAGGGACTTTATGGAGTGACTGCTCCCAGAGGGGGATGTTTCTGTTAGATCAGTGGCCCAGAGGCAGTGGAACAAATCTTCCTCCTGTCATCCTCATTTTACTATCAGCTCCACAGCAGCAGCACAAAATACTGCATTAGAACTAAGCACACCACATAACTGAATCTTGTACTCAGATCTTATCCGTCACAACGCATATAATTGCAGGTTGTTAATCATGCCTTTCCTTACGCTCTTCCGTCCTTCCTCTCCCACTGATTTGCTTTCTCTTCCTGAGATCTCTCCCTGAAGCCTCCTTTCTCCTCTTGGTCAGATCCTGTCCTGCCTGCTCACTCCCCTACATTAGTTCTCTGTTCTTGAACAATTTTGGGAAAGCAACGTAGAAACTCTTAGTCAAGCTAAGGCTTACATTGCCTTAGGGTATCTTTGTTGCCTTTCCCAGAATTAACTCCAGGTCTTCTATTCTAGTTTTACTAACCCAATTGCAAGAATATCACCTATAACCATTGTGGTCTCCAAGCATACTAGACCTTTCATTTCCATTTTGCTATGGAGAGCATCTAGAAAATCTGTAGGGCTCTTCATATCTTTATCCCGTTTTGCTGAGCCAAGCATAGGTGGGAGATCTGGTAAGTTAGATGGCAAACAGTTGGGTTAGGAGGGACAGACCTGTTCTATTTTTTGCAAGCAAGAAGATATTTTCTGTTCCTTGCTTTAATGTCAATGAATTAAAAGATTGCCAGTGCATTCCAGACCATCACTGGTAAGACGCCACTTCAGCCTTCCCATAGAGCAAGTACCTACCAGGGATTGAAAAGCCTCATTCTTTGCAAGCATGCGTGGAAGTCAAAGGAGTCTGGAGATTTTTTCATTTTCTTAGAGGAAATTTCTACCCTGTTCAGGGACAGGAGCACCACCTTTTCGAGGACAGCATGATTATATCCTATTGCACTGCCAGTGGTGAGCTCTTTAGTGTTTCTTAGATAGCTTTGATCCTAGTTGTTCTGTCCGCACTCTGAAACTGAACCGTATGACACATGGAACCACAGGAGTCAGATGTGACTGGTATTTCAGATGTGAATGAACTGGGGGAGAGGGACAATGCCCCGCTCAAGGTATCCCGCCGTGAGATACGATTGCAAGGGTAGAGGATAGTGTAGGAGATGACTCTACAGGTTTGTGCCATTAGAATACTTTTTTCTTTAGCAATAGAATTTTCATTTAATCAGTTTCTGCCAGATTTCCTCTTCTTTGAGCTTTTTAAGTGCACCAAAGGGCCTGTTTCTGAAGCGCACTGTCTGCTCCAATTTTTTTTTCATATTTTCATGCAATGTTATGCTTAAAAGGAAGGAAAAGACACAAAGGGAAGATGGAAAAATAGAAATGCAAAATGTCTCATGGGAGATGCTTGCCCTTACCATGTCATGCTAGTTTAAATACAGTTCCCACACATCACATGTCAAGCTGTACTTGATTGTTTTCAAATAGATGGCAAAAATCATGAGAGGAGGAAAATGTTCTTTTGTGTGACACGCTCTTCTTTTGATACATTGGGTTCTGTAGCTGTCAAAGCAAAGGCTGCTTTTCCATCTATTATTACAAATGCATTTGGGGTAAGTCTCTTCGGCAACTCTCTATTCCCTTGATTGTTTACTTCAATGCAAATGTTATTGTTTTAATTTTTCTAAATCTAAGGAACTGAGGAATTGCCCGTGGTACATTTTCCCTGTGATCCTTGGTAGGCAATGAGGTTCTTTCTCAGTGGAGATTTAGATCACATCTGGAACTGCAGTCTCTTTCAAGTACTTTCTGCTTTTCTGGCAGGAGAATGGAATATTTAATTTCATTATTCAGCACAGGGTTATTCATTTCATGCAATGAAGGGAAATTCATCAATATTGTCTTCAGCATCCAGAAAAATGGTACTTACCATGACTGTTTCACATACTCTATTTATATTTTATATCTTTCTCATCACTCAGCAATTATTCATCTCTGCTGAGAGGTGAAATTCTTGTATTGAGTTACTGTAATTTCTCTGAACTCCTGAAAGCAGTTCAGTTACTTGAAGGAGATTGCTTTTACTTAAAGTAGAACTGCCTTGAGACAGTTTCACCAAATACAGATAACTGGATAAAGGTTGTATTTTCCTGTTGATTTTCAAAAGTATTTAGCGATGCTTTATAAAAGTGGTAAATCAATGTTGCTACATCTTAACATTCACTCACTAATATTATTCATGATGGGCTCTTGGAGATGGATGCAAATGTGATAGTGCAAGTAAGAGGGAGTGCAGTTGGAATGCAACGTTAATTTATTCCCAGTTGTTATTAAATGTCACAAGATATTAATAATTTTGCTGATATTTTTCTTTTTAAACCACTTGGTATATGCAAAAGAATAAAATCAGTGTGATGTATATGTCTATGCAAATTCATCAAGATAATTATCTCTGAATCTTCTGTATTATGTTTAATTATCAATGTGGGGTCTTAGATCTGCATTTTGGGGAAAGATCAAAGTATAGGATGACAGACTGTACCCTGTTCCCACAGAAATCAATCAAAGATCTTCCATTTGGGAAGTGGGCACAGTGGGAACAGAAACAGGCTTAGTATCATGATACGTGATTTCTCTTGCCATCAGTAAAACAGATTTTCTCATTTATCTTATCCTCTGAGATGTTTAAATTTTGAATGTCAGATGATTTAAATTTTGTGTTTGGGGAATCCAGGCACTGAGACGATTTGTGTTTGGGGCACTGAACAGGGACTCAGTAGTTCTGGGTTTGTTCTGTCATGCATTTCCCATGTGATCTTATGCAAATCCTTTATTGCCTCTCGCACAGCCTCGTCAGTAAAATAGGATAATGTTACTCTTCTCCTTGTTCGAAGGATTTGTTAACATTTGGATGGCTTATCTACAGTACATTGCTGAGGGCCATATGAAAATCTACAATCTTATTTAAATGTACTGCTTCACATACATATCCTTCTTTCACTTCCTTCTTCTGCATCTTCTGCTTTCTTAGAGCCTCTCATGGGACTCTCATTTTTTCTTTATAAGAAATCTTCCACAGGCTGGCCTTCTCCTCCAAATATGTACGAATAGGGTTCTGTTTTTTAATCTTAAGGCAGGTAGTATGTGTGAGTGGATATGTAGGTGTTGGATGGGCATTTTGTCTGCTACACTTGATGCAGATAATTGGTCATCCAACTAACAGGTTTGTGCTTAGGAAACTAGATTTTTGATGTATTTTCTTCTGGGTATTTTCACTTAATTATTCAGGTGTACAATTCTCTGTCACAGAAATTCAGACTGATTTCAGTAGTGAGCATTCTTTCCATAAAAACCCAGGAATACCATTTCAGATACTTCTTTTGCAAGTATTCAAATAGCAGAAGCAATACTGTGCACTTTTTTTTTTTTTCTAAAGGAAATTGTATCAGTATATGTGTGTGTTTCTGGCTTCTGGGTTTACCGTATTTGCCTTTGCAAAAAATATATTTATTGTTTGAAGCTTTTAACTTAAGCTATGTGTATTTTTTAGCTCAAGGTGCACGATCATACAAGCCAGTGAGCCTTTACTGGAGGGAGCAGATCTGAGCTGTACATTGTTCCCTACCCATCAGTATTATCTAGGATAGAGCAGTGATTTCAATAGCAGCTGCAGGAGATATAGCTATCTGCTCTCTGTTAGTTTTAATGAAGGTGAGTTCTGTATCCCCTGGAATACTGTTTCTTTGATGTCTTTGCATAGCATGGACAAATGTTGACCTAGTAATGGCATGTGCTGCAAAGCCATTGCTGAGTAGTGGCTCTTCGAGTTTGGTGTAAATGGGACAGGTATTGAAAACTAAAAACACCCTACTGCCAAAAAAATGAGTGTATATTTATCTAAAAGCATTAAATGTATGGACATTTACATGCTTCCTTCAAGAAGGCAGTAAGAGTCATTTACTAAGAGTGGTTTACCTGCAAACTGCATTTTCCTTAATAAAACTTCCATTCAGACATTGTAGATATAAAGCCAGCCAATATGGAGGACCTGACGGAAGTGATTACAGCCTCTGAGTTCCATCCCCATCACTGCAATCTCTTTGTCTACAGCAGCAGCAAAGGATCCCTGAGACTCTGTGACATGAGGGCATCGGCTCTCTGTGACAAACATTCCAAGCGTAAGTCCTTGCTTCATTGTGTCCCAGGTGTCATTAAAGTCTTACTATTCACTGACAGCATGTAGATGTTTGCATACCCAGCGTATTAACTTCTCAGTTGCAGGCACAGTTGAAAAGAAAACAGCAAAAGGAATAAACTTTTGTCATCTGTACAGATACCTATGAACTTGATAACAGTCATGTCTGTGACTGGTGTCCGTGGTGGTTCTTATTGCAGGAATCAGTGAAGAACCTACAACACTCCAGCAAAAGAAAAATGATTTGTAGCAGATGAAATACGCATGGAGGAGTATTTAAGTAGATTAGCATACTGTTTTGAATACAAAACTCCTGTTCTGAATATGCATCAAGTAAATTCTGTCACTCAAACTGCCTTCAAAATATTGAAAACATTGTCAGGATTTAGAAATGTCAAGGTCCTTCCTAAAAATTTAGCTCATCATTCCCTATATGTGATGGAGCCACCAATTCATGACAGCTCATACCTGAGACCTACATAAGAACAAGGAAGCAAAATGTTAAAACGCGAGGCTGCCTTTGTTCTCAAAGTAAACGATGAAGGAAAATGTATCTTGCTATCAGCTTTTTGTAGACTAGGTGAGACAGAATATGGTTCTTCCTGGGCACTTTGCCTTCTGCAAGCAGCCTGTTTATTCCTGATCTTCTGAGAATGAAAATCAACAGACAATGGCATTGTGAGTTGTGGCTGGTTCCTACGAGGAGCTGAGAACCCAATGAATGAACTGTGGTGGCTCTGCTTGAGCTACCTTCAGGACTGGGACTTGCAGGACATTTCCATTGTGTCTTCAGTTTCTTTTGCAATGTTGAAACATTGGGAAGGAGATTCAGGAGAAATTCTCTATGCCAGAGGCACATAAGAAGCTTTATGTCATTCGGTTCCTCCTTGAACCTTTTGAGGTAGGCGGTTCTTCGTAGTAGAGGCAGGAGGGAAGGAAGAAAACATTTGAACATTTGAGACAAAAGTGGTGCACAGATTTAGCACAGAAGGTGTTTTTTTAACTGAAGTAGATGTAGTGAAGAGCCTATGACTAGGCGTTTTGGCTGCAAGGAGAAGTGCACATGTTCCACCTCTTGGGATGTGGTCTCTAATTATAGAAAATAACCTTTAAGGACAATCTTCTAAGCAAAGAAGTGTTTTACCTTTGTTAGCTGTACCCCCTTATACTTGTAGGGGGAATTCAATACCATGAAGTGAAATGCAAGCATGACACAATCTGGCACATTGCTATGAGTTATTCTGTCCTACTTAATTGTTTTGTTCCATAATACTTCCATTTTTTTCCTGCTAATAAGGCCTCTGTGCCCCTGTAATTCAGTGCCAAATGCCAATCATAACTTACTAAAACTATACAGTAGCCCTGGATGAAAGAAGGACTTTTATGCCAGAAGGGAGTGCAAGGTCTAATGGTCATTGATTAAACCCCATTTTCCAGACCTATGAGTTAGAAAATAGCCATTTAATGTAGCATTGCTGCACTGAACTCAAGTCAAGCTCATGGAGAACCTGAATGTGTGCAATACAAAATTGATACAGCAATAGTAGAACTTCCAGAGCGTTAAAATAGGCCCGTGTACTGCTGATTGGAGTGGTTTGATTACAGTACTCAGAGGCAAGCAAAACTAATTATATAAAGCCCATCGCAACCTAAAAAGGACATATCATAAAAAACAGCCCACAAAATCAAATATTTTCTTAATTGCCTTTCTGTACCTTCTCTGTACATCTGATTTCTCTTTACAGTAGCTTTACACATGGTGTATATGCATGATCAGTACCCTGTTCTCCTAGCTCAGCTCACCTTTCAACCTTTCATCATTGACTGCATTTCTTAACCAAAACAGTCATGACTATAGTCACTGTAAACCCTCATGTTCTGCTATGCATCTCTACTTTTTTAATTCAGTCTAATATCACTATGCTAGAATCATAGAATAGAATCATAGAATAGTTAGGGCTGGAAAGGACCTTAAGATCATCCAGTTCCAACCCCCCTGCCGTGGGCAGGGTCACCTCACACTAAACCATGTCACCCAAGACTGCATCCAGCCTGGCCTTGAACACCGCCACGGATGGAGCATTCACAACTTCCCTGGGCAACCCATTCCAGTGCCTCACCACCCTTACAGTAAAGAACTTCTTCCTTATATCCAATCTAAATTTCCCCTGTTTAAGTTTGAACCCGTTACCCCTTGTCCTATCACTGCAGTGCCTAATGAAGAGTCCCTCCCCAGCATCCCTATAGGCCCCCTTCAGATACTGGAAGGCTGCTATGAGGTCTCCACGCAGCCTTCTCTTCTCCAGGCTGAACAGCCCCAACTTCCTCAGCCTGTCTTCATACGGGAGCTGCTCCAGTCCCCTGATCATCCTCGTGGCCCTTCTCTGGACTTGTTCCAACAGTTCCATGTCCTTTTTCTGTTGAGGACACCAGAACTGCACACAATACTCCAGGTGAGGTCTCACAAGAGCAGAGTAGAGGGTCAGGATCACCTCCTTCGACCTGCTGGTCACGCTCCTTTTGATGCAGCCCAGGATACAGTTGGCTTTCTGGGCTGAAAGTGCGCACTGAAGCCAGCTCATGTTCATTTTCTCATCAACCAACACCCCCGAGTCCTTCTCCACAGGGCTGCTCTGAATCTCTTCTCTGCCCAACCTGTAGCTGTGCCTGGGATTGTTCCGATCCTGGTGTAGGACCTTGCACTTGGTAACAGTATCTGAATTTCAGATACTGTTCTGAGAGTGTAATGGATATACATATTTTTAGGGATAAAAGAGCCAATGTAAAACTTGTTAAAAATATGTGGACCCTGAGCATATCTTTTTGAACTTTTGGGCTGATTCCTTTTTCAGCCCCTTTGTTGTCCAAATCTCTCATAGCTGGGCTAAACACAGTTGCAGCTTTTGGGGAAAGGGCCATCTGTACAAGACTAGAGATTGCCATGAATAATTACTGTGCCATACTGTATAAATAAATTACATACTAATATCTGTAGTGTAAACCACTGGCACAGGATGTTAATAAATTATGGTGTTCTTGAAGATTTCTGGTTTGCTAAGCTCAATGGCAAAATCTCTCTGTTCAGCATTAGTAACCACAACGCTACAAGGTTTCCCTTTACAAATCTTTCATGGCTCTGACATGGAAGAGACAAGAGACTTCTTCCATATCTTCTCATTCTTTGTGCCTATGCTGAGATTTATTAGCAAGCTGCCAGTTTGTGTGATGAGATGTAATAGAGACCACTGTACCTTAGAAAAATAATCTCAGACCACAAAATTTATACATAAGGCATTGAAAGAATATCAACAGCTGAGCTTTAAATGGTCATTGAGATACTGATAAGGTGTGATAAAATGTGTTGTTTTTCTAATAGACTACCTGTAACTGTTTCTTATAACACCTCTTTAATAGATCATGCAGTGCTGGGAGAGCAATCAGTAGCAAAACATATGTGGCCATTACAAATGGATATCTAGGAAAGCCCAATCTATAACCATTGGGGAGATACATACATAATATAGAGATACATACATAATATACTTACAAGTAGTGGGAGAGAATTCCATCAAAATATTCTGGAAAGGTGAGGAAGAAGAGATTAATGCCCCTGCTTATTTAGGGTATTACAGGGATAGGAATAAAGAAGGTGTTCTTCCAGTCCGTAGAGTTATAGGTAAAGATTTAAAACAGATATGAAAGCCACACTCAAGCAGCAAGAAATAGGGAATGAATTTAAATAATATGGAAGCTTTCTTCTTAATAAGTGTATGTGGCAAAACTAGCAAGTCACCTTTGAGGTGTTATTCAGGCAACATGCATGGCAATGCGGTGTAGAAAAAGGCGGTGTATGGGAAATCTATGACAGCAGTGAAACAAGGGAAGCTAGCAGCTGCATGAAGTATCATTGTTAGAGCAGTTAGCAGGGAACATCCAAAACATAAAAGAATGACCCCCCCACCCCAAATTCTATAAATTCTCATGCAAGAGATTCAGGTGACAAGGAAGACAAGGACAAAGATACTGTTTGTAGTAAAAGTGTTCTAAAAAATACTTACAGCAGTATGAAATACAACAAATACTTGCTAATTTGATTTTGATCTTTTCTTGTTAATATTATATTCAGAGCTCTTTATAAATGTGCTTGAAGATAATATTCTTTCAAACAGCTTGCAAACTAAATACATACATATAGCTATTACAGCAAATCATCTAACACAGCAGTCAGCTAAGAAAAGCTGAGCTTGCGCATATCAGATATAAAGGAAGAGCTTTTTCAGTAGTTCATCAGAATTACTAAATCCAGTCTTAAGTGATAAACAGAAACTGCATAGTTACGCAACATGGAAATTTAAGTCGTTTGAGTATAACTACTATTGATATTTGTGTAATAGCATTAATATCTTAAAGTCTTTGCATGCTTCAGAAGTTGTAATCTATTTAAATGCTGTTATGTTGCTTTAAGGGTTTTTGCATGTTCATTTCTTAATATGTATTTGTAGACTAAACCCATATTTCTAATTATCCATTACCCATGTGAAAAATTTATGACAAAATACTCCAAGGAAGAAGGAGTTTCAAGCTGATTGCTCTGTGTGCTGTGGTTGTCTTTAAAAACCAGACTTTGGGATTACATAGTGCAGTTAAGCTCTGTCACCATTAGTTCAGGCTTTCCATCTTCCATACAGACTTCACAAGCTTCTGACAGCTGGATCTGTAACAAGAGCCATTTAGAGCCGCCCTCCCTTTGACCAAAGAAGCATTTGTAGATGACACTCAATCCTAACAGCCACCTTTTCTGGACGCTTACTGAAAGGGGCAAAGCATCTCAGCTGGTGCCTTCCCAATACCATGGGGTGGATAACGAATATCTTACAAGCATAAAATGGTCTTCAGAGCAATGCAAAGCGAATTTGAGGTTTAGTTTGTGACCCAAAGGTGGTGGTGATGTCTTTTTTTCCTTGAGAGTCCTTTTCCACATTG